TTAACTAACATAGTTTAACTAACTTCTCTTTAACTTGAGAATTAGACAGCAGCACAGGGGGAAGTTCAGAAGCTGTGAGTAATGCTGAGTAGTATCGGCTTATCTCACCCTCATAGGGTTCAGTCTGGTCCACACTGGCCTCTGGAGTGAACTTCTATGAATTTCAATGACTAACAGTGAAACACTTACAGTTTCACTTCCTCAGTAACGTTGGTCAAGCTTACAGTGCATTTCCAACATGCTGAATGCAACAATGTTCCTCACTTGAACCACTGTTGCACACATGTACAGGCACATAAACATCAAACTGTCTAACATGCGTTTTTTTTTCTCCCTTCTTAATTGAGTCTTGAGGATTTGCTGTGGCGTTAGGAGCAGCGTGGATGAAAGAAATAATTTTGTAGAAGTGAAAGTGGGTCTTGTTTAATTTGCTTCCTGTGTCTTAGAACCATCGTCTGCCATGGAATCACGTCTACGTCAGGTTGTACTGTGATAACCAGAGAACATCTGCAAAGAGCCTTGACTTGTAGGAAACAACTGAATACATCTGAATTGCATCACCTTGAATATCTCTACATATTATCACATTACAACCACAAACTGTTATTTTAATGGGATGTGATGACACAAAGAAGAGTATTATTGTGAAATGGAAGGAAATGGATACATTGTTTTCATTTGTTTCTGAAATCCGAAAATTGTGGCATGTATTTGTGTGTAACCTCTTTTAAAATCCTTAAAATTTGAAATCCTAACCTCTGTGCGTAACTTAGTAGAAATCCAGGTGTTCTGTGAATGCCTCAGAGGTTGTTTGGTGCAGGGTTATTCAAAGTGGGGGCTGTGGCCCATTGGGGGGCCACCAGCAGCAAATTTGGTTAAGAGTATTTTCCCAGCTGATAGTCCAGTAGACTTGGTTTGATTAGTGACCAAAATTGCAACATTTGTTATATTTACAGCTGGTGCAATTCGCTTTCACACTGCACTGCGTCAAACAAACCAAAGCATTTGAATAACCTGTTCCCCTCCTCCTGTGGTGGCGCTGTACCAAGAACCACTGAATGGAACAACACAAACACCTCTGAAGAAACCACTGAGCACAACATCCTTCACGAAATGTAAACAAAATGGAGTGACGCCAGAGTTTAGCGGTTGTAGGATTTCTCTTCTGTCTTTGGCAAAACACCATAAATCATTTCTCCCCCTAGCACAAGAATAGCGCATTTGCTTTGATTGAATTTACCCAGAATGCCGTGCACTGAAGCCTGCTTCCTGCTTTCAGAGCAGTCTCCAGTCTGCTTAGCATTCACATAGGCATTCAAACCGCACCAGCGTTCACTTCAACCAGTTCTAGATCTAGGCAGACCAGAGTTTGCTCTTTCAGTCTGGATCAGAGTTTGATTACGTATTCCCCAAACCAACCAGACTTTCTAGGTTAACTCATTGCAGCCGGAAATACAGGCGGCTATTTCCTGTCAATCTCTGGGATGGTTTGCAACCTTTTCTTCAGCAGGTGGAGAGCTGATGGATCGATCGCTAACACGACAGCATGCGCGGACATCTGATGGGCGGTAAAATGGCTGCTTTTAGTAGAGAGTCACAGATCCATACCTTGTGACAGACGGGTAGGCTGTTGGACCTGGAGCCCGTCAACAGCACAGAGGTTCCCAGAAGGATGCAGCGTGATGACACCTGACTTGTTCTCGATGTAGCAGTGCTGTGCTGCCACACCAGGGCCCTGGATGTTGATGTCCACGGCACCGTACCCCAGAATGGTGCAGCCTGAAGGAAGGGACATGTTCAGGTCTCAAAAAGACGGTATCAAAGACAGAACTGACCTCTGATGATGTAAGGTGTACTGAAATATATACTTTGTGATACGCATATATAAACTTTTTTTATGATGATTTCTACACATCTGATAATGTGAGAGTTGTCACAGGAACAGTTCAAGTTACAGCAATGGCTGAAGTGTCACCTCTCACGTTCAAAATGGGAAAAACATCCGACGGTTGTTTCCTATGCAAGAAATGCAACAGCATAACAGCAGCACATAATCCGACAGATCTGGTTTTACTCATATGAGAACAGAAAGCTACTTGCAAATTTGCTATAGCATTTTTTATTGATTTGTTGAGAAGACATTTCAAGAATAAATGTCAGGCTTAAAATGGCTAATTATGGAAAACCTCAGTGTCTGACTGGATAACCAGGAATAATTGGATTGAATGGGTCAATGGGCTATACATTTAAATAGGTTCTGCATAAAACAACCAAATATAAACTGAGCTAAACTGGGATGAATAATATATGACTAGATCTGATTCTGTTTTGTGTTCTTCTGAAAAATCAAAGGGACACTGTGACCTGTACTCTGCCTCCAAAATGGAAGACAATGCATGATCTCTCAGCTTGCATAAGACCTTCAAACGTAGGAATCAGTTGGGTCCTATATGGAAAGGAAATTAAGTTAAATAAAGTAAAAAAAAACTTGATGGAAGGAAATGTGAAATGTGGAAAAGGGGCTACACACATGTGATTACTTGTACTCTGCTCTGTCAGCCGTACTTTTCTACAGTGAAGTACTTTACATCCGTTTTTGTGTCATTTGTCTGAACAGAGTAAATCACTGTGCTGTGTGGAGGTTACTGGCTCACCCTCAGGCAGAGGCAGCAAGGTGATTGCTGTACTCAGTCGTCCACTGCCCAGGCTGACCAGGTGGGGGCGCTCTGCTTGAAACTTCAGCTCCTTTCCAGTCTCTATTAAATCCAGTGGGGTACTCTGCAGACAAGCATGTAACACAAAGAGTGCAGTTTCAACAGAACCATATCAAAAATTGTTGATGTGGTGGCGCAGGGGCAAAGCACAACCCACGTACTGAGGCCATAGTCGTGGTGGTGGTGGTCGCAGGTTCGATTCCTGAACTGGTGACATTTCCCATATGTCTTCCCCCCTCTCATTACCCTCTTTCCTGTCGAACTACTTTCAAATAAAGGCCACCAGAGCCAACAAAAAAATAAATAAATTGTTGATAATGTGACTGTGATAAACTCTGACCATTGCTGAATTTTAAAGCTTCACTGGTTCATGTGACACCCAGACAGAGGGTCTCTCTTCTCATCTCCCATCTGGAGATAAAAAGAAGGATCCTCTTTTAAGCCACTGAATTCTCTTCCTGTTTACACACTAAGAAAAGTGTACATTTAGGTGTGTGTGTGTGTGTGTGTGTGTGTGTCTCGTCTTCCCCCCTCCAAGCTCTCCCTAAAGCCCCACCATGTGCTCAGCAAGAAGGGGGGTGAAGGGATTGTCACCATGGCAACAGCTCTCCACAGTTATGAGGCACGAGGATCCTGGAGGCTGTTCAGAGAACTAACTTGTGTTGAGCGCTCTCAGCACAGCCTGGATATAAAGCCATTTCTGCTTTTCAGTGATTTGCTTTTCATTAAATTAATCCCACCACAGCAGTTTTGAGCAATACCTCCAAGGTTTCAAAACACTGAATAAATTAGAGGTATTTTTTCTCCTGCTGACTTTATGCTTTATGTACAAATATCAGGGTGCTAAAACAGGCAGTTCGATGTAATTCAGCCTTCTTATTTACCATGACTTATTTTCTCATTGTCTTGATCATTTTACCCTCGTTTTCTATTTAATGCATGTGTAAACTCCTACATGAATGAGCTTTCTTTAAGTTAAATTCAGTTGAAATATTAAAACCATGCGTAAGTATCATTATTCCCACACTAAATTAAAAGAAAGACATCAGTGTGAGGAGCATAGTGGTTGTACAGAGAAGCTGTCAGATCAAAGCAGGTTTCTACCACCTTCAGACACCAAGATATCGAACTTCATGCAAATGCTATTTTATAAACCTTCAAAATGTGGCATTTGAGCTATATTCACTTCTTTTACTGCCTTTAAATATGGCAAAGCAGTAAAAAAAAAAAAAAAAGCGTCTATATTAGCCTGGCTGAGATTAACCGTTAGCTTTAGCTTCTGGGGAGAGCTAATCTGAAGATGCTAAGAGAGAGCTAATTCTGACTAGCAGCTAGCTAGAAAACTAATTTCTATTTCAATGAAGCTTACAGGAGCGTTTAACTGCCACGGCTAAGAATTAAATTCAGGTGCAGTATCTCTTTAAAACAAGAAACTTTGTCATTGTAACTGTAAACAAAACGTGATAAAATGATAAAGTTCTTGCTAGAGCGAGATATGACACTTCTCGTTAAAATGAAAATGTTTCTGATTTTAGCAAGATACTGCTTCTGAAATCTCAACTTTGTAGTAAAATGAAGTGAAAATTCCTAAAATTCTAATGTCTGAGTTATACAATCTATCTTTTTAAGTAAACGTGTTGCCAAGGCAGAACTTACAGTTTCTGTTTTAACATACCTCCTTTGCTGTGCTAGCACTGCTAGCCCCAACAAGATTTTGTGTATTCCAATGCCTTCATACATTTGATTTCTTACCAAGATGCATGTTGTTTAATTAAATTATTTTAAAATAGCATTTTCAAATTAAATAATTTGTCTCAACATAAAACTTTTTGGGAATTCTAGCTAACTTGATCTTTTCAAAAACATCTGTTCCACAAATAAAGCATTTGTTTATGAGGTTTTGACGATTTCTACGTTGACTTCTACTGTTTTGCTAACTGTGTTAGGAATACTTACAAAGCTCTTTCTTGATTTATTTCACGCACAAAAGAGTAAGACTCAAAAACAGATCTCAATATATATATAACTCATTTAGGGAAAATACATTATGTTTATATCTTTCAGCAGTAAATTAGGAGGATAAATATATCGTGGCCTGCAGACCCACATCATAACAAAGTAAGCCAGGCCAAAATTTGCAAACAGCATCCCTCTAAGTGCAGTTTTGGAAGGTTAGCAACATAATTTTGGATGTATTTTAATAGCTTTGCAGCCCTCAGTGCTGCACTTTTGATGTTGTTGTATATTTTTACATCTTTACTGTATTGAACGCTCCATGTCAACCTCTTATTTTAAAATTTATCTGGCAAATTGGTTCATGTTTGCACTATTTTGACGTACTCTTCCAACAATGCAAGGCTCAACATTTTAACAATGACAAACACCACTGGTCCTCAGCTAAATTTGGTCATGCAAAGTGGCTGTGATAATTAATTAAAAGTCTGTTGGTGGATATCTATCAGATACAGCTTTTTGTAACAGACTGGGTTTGATCTTTATTAAATGATTATCATGATGCAAAGTATTTCCAGTTTCTGACATTTCTCTGCTCTTTTTTTGTAACTGACGTTTTTTTTTTGTTTGTTTGTTTTTTTTTGTAAATCAGATTATTTCTGGAGTCGGAATATGAGCTCTGATGGGTGTGGACTCATTCAGTAGCAAAGACTTTTTATATGAACACATACCTTGAATGTGTCTTTTTGTGCCACTTTTATGCTTACATACTTGGTACTTGGGATGCCGTCATTGACCTGACCCCTTGTTTGGTCGTGTGTGTGTCCAACTGGGATTATCTAGTTGTGGTGGTCTGCCGGTGAAGTGGGGTCAAGCCTAAGAGGATCACTGAGTTACAGACTGGCATGCTGGGAAGACTAGCAGGGAGTAATGGGAGTAGTGAGGAGCTGCAGGGATTCATGCTGCTATCTGCTGTGCGCTGCTGCTCCCAAGTGGTGCACTCTGCAACTGCTTCATGCTCTAATACTTCAGAATGCCCACATGCACGCGTTGCCTTTATACCATTTAATGCATGCAACAACTCATTTACCATTGGTAGAAAATTTGCAAAGGATTTCCACATTTCTGTTTGACAAAATTTCTTGCATTCCTAGTAATTAGAAACGTCATAAACTAACTTCTATTTGTTAAACTTGAAGTCTTCTCAGTGAGTCAGCAGCTTTTAAAAATCTCCAGCAATAATAATGTCAGTCAATCCTGTCTCTGTGGAGTAATTTCAGCTGTCTTTAACTCTTATCTGACTTCCAGAAGTAATTACTGTAATCCCCTACTTTTTTTTTTTTAACTTTAATGTATTTTACTGTAATTTGATGTATAGGCCCACACAAACTTGCTCACAAATATTTTACAAATAAAATATTGAACAATTTGTTGTCCATTTCCTAGTTATTCTTCTTTATTCTGATAATCCTCAATAAAATCCAGAGTCACATCACAAAGAAAGGCGTTAGAAGTCCAGGGACACAGCAATCATCTGGAACAAGGTGCTCTGGTCAGACTACAAAATGTTGCTATACATGCAAGATGTTAAAGATCAACTCTTTTGTAAACATCAGCTGAAATTTGGTGGTGGGTGCATCATAGTGTGGGAATGTTACTGTTCAGCAGCGACAGGGAAGCTGGTTAAAGTTGTTTGGTACCCAATGTGGAACACTTCATAGCACATGAATTCACTTTGGAAGGTCATATTTGACTGATACATGCAGGGATATTCCTGTGTCTGCAAAGCCATTTCAAATAATGAGCACTTCAACACAATCTTATATGCATAAATTATTATTATTAGGGCTGTGGTTTGAGACGTTAATCTGAATTAATAAATTGCATCCATTATACAGGTTAAAAATTTAACTCAATTACTCACATTTTTCTTTTTAACATACAAAAGCCCCTACCCAGAACTTTTGTATCGTGTTTCTGGTATGCTTGTAAACCTGATGCACAAGAGACATCTGCTAACATCAGAGATTGATGATGAAGCCAGTGGATTCAGTTTTACCTAAAAATATGATCCAATGAAACACTGGAAAACACTATTGTTGTGTTCAAGTTGTGCTAAAAGGAGTTAGCTTATCAGAGGAGCTATTCAAGCCTAAGATAGCATCTCTATGCATGGAGCAGCAGCACAATGTCAGAGTCCACATTTCCAAAGAAGTTCCATGAATGATTCCTGGAACATTTGGAAGCTGAATGGTTATAATAGAACATTGCACCAATCTATTGGTTGAATAACCTCAGATTTCAAAGATAATAAGTATCTTTGTTGTTGCAAAAAGGATTTTTGACTTGAAAATGTTGCTTATTTTGTCAATAAATAGTTTTCGATTAATTGCAATTAAGTAATTAAAGACTTTACGATTTTAATCGAGACCTACCACTAATATATACAAGAAGATCACTCCTCACACACACACACACACACACACACACACACAGACACACAGACTCAAACTCCTCCCCTTAAGGCCTAATAGGATTGTCAGAGACAGCAGGTGGGAAACAAAGACTTCCAATCTCTGGGTCTGTGTAATTACTCAGGGTGCTTAATGACACACTGACATCTGCTGTCAGAGTCTGCCGCAGCTGTGCTGCCTCAGCTGACCTGCAGCTTCTTCAACTCTGATTATCATCTGAGGAGATCTGGAGCAAGAGTCTGTCAAAGCGACCAGATCAACAGATGCTGTCATTCTTATGCTGGTGTCTTTCAGTGAAGACTTTGGGGTTGTAACCTCCAGCTCTCATGTAGTATTACCTCAAACACACACACACACACACACCTGTAACACCTGGTGAGTTTTTCGCCCAAGCTCAGGCATGTTCCTGTTGAAGCGATCCATGTCCACGGAGTTGTCCACGTCTCCCTGCGACACATGAAGATCCTGGAAAGCAAAAAGGACAAGGCATAGGCAGAGACAGAGAGAATCCCAAGTTATCATCAAGAAAGGCAGCAAATATCCATGTAATAAAGCCTTAAAACAGCATGTATGGGCCATTATAGATAGAAAATAAGGAGGTGTATATTTTTGCCCAAAAATGTCATAAATGTTTTAGAAAATCATGGAAATTTCTGAGTTTCAAAAGTCAAAAGAGTTCAACTTTTGGAACTCATGAATTTGCCATTTTTCTAGACAATTTCTGAGATTAACCTGAATTTTTTTCAGAACATTTTTGATGTTTCAAACACACAAATTTCCTTGTTTCCTTGTTTTTTCTAGAAAATGTCTGAGATTATTTACAATGCGCCTAACACACTATCATAATCTTCTGTGTGACTCCATGACAGAATTGTTTTCAGAAGTTCTGACAACGTTAACTGGGGGTTCCCCGATCTTCCTCCATCATATCCTATCTGTGATTCATGTTGTCATCACAAAGGCAAAACAACAGATGGCAGACACAGCAAGGTACACACACATTTACACACACCCACACATTCAAAATCGTCACCTTCACTGAACACACATCAAACCTCATAAGGAGCATCTTCCCAAACCCAACCTGGAATCCTTTTGGGTATTTCCATCAAGTCAGCAGCACAAACCCATCCTCTTTTCTTATTATAATTATAAAATCTCACTGTGTATGCTAGCACAAATCTTCAGCAACCACGTTCTACGTAAGTGTGAGACGTTATATTTGTGCAGTCATTAGGCGAGACGTGAGACATGCTGTGGTTTAGCATGCAGCAGACGTTAGAAAGCACATAATTATCCCCGTCGCTCCCAGAGATGTGTATGCAGCGGGGGATGGAAATCTGTTTGCAATGTGCTTTAGCCTCGGGATGACTAAACACCGCAGCAAATATCCTCATGTTTGCTCTCCTGACAGAGCCGCGAAATGATATTAAGACAGTGGAGTCAGCCTGGAGGAAGCACCAAACAGGTTCACAAAGAAGAAATGAAACAATATTTGGAAAGTTTCGTCTCTAAACTCCAGTGCAGCAAAATAAAAAAATAAATAAATAAAATAAAAAGAATAAAAGAAACAGCTTGCAGGAGTTCTCCATTAACACTAGTTTTCATTATAGGTTAGTAATACTTACCTGTCTCCAGTTGTCCAGCATGTGCATGGCCTCCATGGCAGAGAGCTGCTGCTGACTGACTGAATCCTATCAGAGTGAGCCTTATTGCCCCGGACAGCTTACACACTGCAGTGTGTGTGTGTGTGTGTGTGTGTGTGTGTGTGTGTGTGTGTGTGTGTGTGTGTGTGTGTGGAATCGTCTTTTGATTTAAAGCTCCCGGCACGGTGCCTGCAACAGACTACCACTCAGGAGGTCAGACCTGTTGCTGCCTGCTCCACTAGCTAACACCTGCATTCCTGAATGGCAGCTCCAAAGGGAGATGTGTGTGTGTGTGTGTGTGAACGGTGATCAAAAGGGAGGACTGAGGAAGAGAGCAACTTAAAGGAAGAAGAACAAAGTGATGACTGACATATTTTCAGAAAAATTATACAAGGAGCCACAGGTGAACTGACTGAACAAGCCTCTATTACTGAAGCATAAACTGGGATGGGTGAAGCAAATCAGAAAAACTGTTTATATGCTCTATGTGGTGTTATCTACCAGAGGTGGTCCTAGCCTGTTTGGTGGCCCTGGGTGACCTTTCCGGCACCCCTCTCCCCCCACTAGGTTAAATGTTGACATTAATATCCTCAGTTCATGCCACCCCCTCCACCAACCCCACAAAATGCCACCCTGGGTGGTTGCCAATGTCACCCATATTGGAAACTGCCACTGTTATCAACACTTGGTGAGGGGGCAACGTGATTCATCCTAACAGCTGCAGCGTGTAACGTTTATTAAAAAATATGTTTTTTACGTATTTGATGAACCTGCTACTATGTTGTAACTTATAACATGAGACAGATAATCTGTAAAAGCTGCTCTGTCGCCTCCCTGTGGTCCTACTGCCATCTGCAGAAACACACCACCTGGTCAAAAACAACCAATCACAGCCAGGAGGAGGGTGTTAGCGCCGTTCATTATGCTCGATATGATTGACAGCGCCAGTAAAGACCAGAAAGCCTCTGAAGAATTATTCTGAGGACTTGTTAAATCTACACCATGAAAAATCAGGGCAGTTCTGAACAAATGAAGAGATCCAACCTTGACCAATTAACATTATAAACTGCAGTATGTAGCGTTTCAGTTTTTTGACTCTAGTGGCCTTTATTTATAAGCACTCAGACAGGAAAGTAATGAGAGAGAAAGAAGACATGCGCTACATGTCACCAGGACAGGATTCAAACCTGTGACGATCAGGTCGAGGACTAAAGCCTCCTTATGGGGGTTGTGCTTAACTCCTGAGCTGGCACAGCACCTTCATATGTAGTGTTTTTAAAAAATAAATATTTGCAATTGCTACTACTGCCGTCTGCAGAAATCAGTAAACATCCTGATCACACGGCCTTACTAACTGAACTGACTCCTTCCAATGATTCTAACTTTGTCTTCAAGTATTCCTCAGATGCGTTTCATCAGCAGACAGTTCCCTAATCGCTCAGCCCATGTCCCTCTCCATTCTACCGTCACTGGAGAACCAGACGCCAAGATCTGGGGTTACTTTGGTTAGGCCATCTACCCTGTCCAAAGCTAACCCTAGTAACTTTTCCTCTGTATTTACACATTGTTTCACTGTAAGGTCACACGGTCTTTCCAACAAAACTTTTACTTGGAGACATTATATCCAACAATTTCTTTGCAACTACATTTATAAATCTGTATCTATAAGAATGTTTGCTGGAATTCTAAAAAAAAAAAGTGTCAAATGTTTGACTCCTTGGTCTTAAATATTTTTTCCAAACATTTGTACATAGCTGGTGTTTTATTTATTTATTTTTTAAATAATTTTTTTTATTAAATCACTGCCCCTGTGTTTGATGCATATAGATTGAAAAAATTCATTAAATTACAGATTTTTGATGACTTCTTTCTGATGTAGAATGCTTTTTGAAGCAACATTGTTTAGCTTTTGGGACTCAAGCAACACACACTCTTACACACAGATCAAAACTTGAGCCATGGTAGCTTTTCTAAGCACATGTGGTAGAAAAATCTCTAACTGCCACTTTTAGACACTAATAAATACAAAAGAATATTGTCATTTAAGCTACCAATCCACTTTTACAGTTCTTTATTTCATTCTACATACCACAGATGAACCCCCATGTTGCTCTCGGTGTGGGTGTTGGATCGCTCCAGATAGAAGAAGGTTTCTGCAGCGTCTCCTTCTGAAGCTCTTCTTCTATCTTCCCTCTTCTAACACCACAGCAGAAAGAGCTGGCATTGGTTTATCTGAGCAGGGCTGAATTTCCAGCACTATTTTGAAACTGAAGACATTTCTGCAAATTGAAATAGCTTCTTAAATTTGAACTAATGAACTAAAACAGTTCATTAGTTCAATGCAGATAAAGAAGCCAGATAAAAGGGCTTCATCTTCCTCCTTTTCTTTGCTGATACTCAAGGGGGCACATAGGTAATTCACTTTCTTAAAATAAGTGATTTTACAACTGGGTGAAGTCTTGTCATGATGAATACATAAAGATATTTCCTCAGATTGTTCTTATATCAGAAGACCATTGAAATAGTGCTTTAATGTTACAATGAGCAAAAAGGCTTCATTTCTTTACACTCAGGTTCCTTTGTGTTCTTAAGTAACATTCTTTTATCTCTGTAAATACATTTTTGTTAACTTTTAGTCTTTGCAATACGAAAACAAAGCAATTCTTAAAGTTTAGATTATTCAAAAGTTTGAACCCTGAAGGCACGTTTTGTTTTATTCTAAAGAACTCCTCGCCGATTTTAGGCAGGTTGGATCATGTGTCGGCTGCAGAGTAGATGCGGTCTGTAGCCAGAGGTAATTCACTGCATTCAGCGCTTCATGACCTAATATGAAAAAATATTCACAGGGGGAAAAAAAATTAATATGGATGTGGTGGAAGGCATCATAAGGCTTTGCAGGTGTGTCACAAACTTCCTCGCAAACACACCTGGATACATTATGGAGCTGCAGCAGCTCAGTGAATCGGGGTCAGATTCAAATCAAACCTGTTACAAGTTGCTTGCTGAACCATTCAGAGATTCTTCCACATCTCACTGTAGCACTGACCAACATCTCCTTCTGCTAACTGAGAACAAAACGTTTCAGAGTTTTGCTTTCCTAGCAGGTTTCTTAGAGGTCAAAGACTCTAACAACATCAATCATGTCAGTCATAGAAACCAGAAAAAATATGTAAAAGACTGTGAAAGGCTAATGTCATGGTTAGCATATATATGTATATACAGCTCTGGAAAAATTAAGAGACCACTTAAAATGATCAGTTTCTCTGAGTTTACTTTTTATAGGTTTATGTTTGAGTAAAATGATCATTGGTCTTTTATTCTGTGAACTACTGACAATATGCCTCTGAAGTTACAATCAAAAATTTAGGATTTATTTGTAGAAAATGAGAAATGATCAAAATAATAAAAAAGATGCAATGCTTTCAGACCTCAAATAATGCAAAGAAAATAAGTTCATATTCACTTGGAAACAACAATATTAATATTTTCCTTCAGAAAGAGTTCAGAAATCAATAACCAGGAGATTTTCAATGAGGTTCAGTGCAGTGGACTCTTCATTTTATCCAAATCTGTGGATTTATATATGGTGATGTAGGTGTAAACATGAGGAAAGGAAGGAGATTTTGAGTCATTTTCATGCCAGAGGTAATTGTTGTGATCTGTTTTCTGTGTATTTATTTTGAGGTTTTTCTGTGTTAGCCTGTTCCCCGGTGAGTCTCTGTCTTCTCTGTTGATTGATCCCAGCTGTGTCTCGTTTCTTTGATTACCCTCCCAGTGTATTTAGTCCCACCTGCTGTCTTTGTCTCTTGTCGGATCCTCGTTGTGTAACGTCTTGTTCCCCGTTGTTCAGTTCTGTGGAATTTGTCATTAAATCATCACCTTCATCCTGTGTCTGCCTGCGTCCTCCCTCACCCCTCCTCATGACAGTAATAAAGTCATAAAACATTTTCTAAAGTAATAATAAAAAATCTCTCATTATTCTGACATTTAGAAAATAGAATTCCTTTCAGTAATCCAAATTAATCCAAAACAATAAAAGTTGAGTTTGATTTAATCCTAAGCAGCCAAAAAAGAAATCTAATACATATATATATCTTCATACAGTGTATTTAAGAATGTGACTTTAACTGTAAATACTCTGCTAAGCCATCATTCATCCTAGAGTAGTTCTGTTAAACACGAGCTGCAGAGTTTTTCTATGGTGAATGTAAATATAATGAAGTAAAACATGTTGTTTTCAGACAGAAACCACATAAATGCAGTAAACACGAGTTCTGGAAGGAAGTGCAGACAGACGGAAAGCTCTGTACGCACTGTGGAAATGACAGGCGGCTAATTTGATCCAATATGGCTGCCGACACCGATACGGAGTGGAGCATCTTAAATAACCTCGTTAGATTCTGAGTTAAGTGTCTCTTCAGCTGTGTTTACGTGGCTCGGCTGAGTAAACGGACTCACAGAGAGTTATAGGGAGGCAGCGTCCTAACAGCACAGGCAGGGGAGTTTAAACAGTCCGCAAACCTCTACTGGTGTACTTTTATAGACATAAGTGAGCGGGGCACTGGAACTGCAGCTGAGACGGGATTCATAGAAGTGAGGAGGAGGAGGTTCATATTTAAAGATGGAGAAAAACAACATTCAGAGAACAAACACCCAATTTACTGGAAGAAACCAATTTCCTTCCAGCAGCTGTAGCAGCAGGGCAGCACAGATGTGGATCAAAGATCAGACTTTTCACTAATAAGGAAAATAACGCACAATGGTGTAATGCTCAGAGGAATGAACAAAGTCCCCATAGGGCTATTAAATGTTAAAATTCATGATTGTATAAATACCAAAACATGTAACAAGGGGAACAAGTTTAGGCTTCAATATCTATATAATTATTCCGGTATAATTTAATTTGGGCAGAAAGACTGAAAGGACAAATGACTGGTCATACTGGCTCCTGATGGCTATAGCTATCTATCTGTGATTTAGATGAGCATATACTGGATTGTAACATTTGTGTCGTATACTTTGGTGGTAAGTTTAGAAGAAACTTTAATGATGAAAGTGCTGCATCAAAGTTTCAGGCCTGTCATGTCATGAGAACGTCTTGTATTTTCTGATGGCACAAACTAAACTAATTGTCATATTTTAAACATCTAAACATCTGCTTCTATTCCACCTGTCT